GAGACAGAGTCCCACCCTGTGCCCCTGAGCAGAGGGCAGTGGCGTGGTTGCTTACTGCAACCTCAGATGCGGGCTTTCGGCATCCCGCTGCCTCAGCCTCTGGAAGCCGCTGGGATTACAGGGGCTCGCCGCGGCGCCCGGCTGGGTTTTTCCATTTTTTTCTTGGAGTCAGGGTCTCACTTTAGCTCAGGCGAGTCTCGAGCTCCTGAGCTCCAGCGATTCTCCCTCCTCAGTCTCCCACAGTGCTGGGATTACAGGCGTGAGCCACCGCGCCCGGCAGGTAATAGGTCTCGTCATAAACACTCAACAGTTACATGACAATGTGAGGGTCTGTGAGGAGTCTCAAAGGAAAGGATCCAGGAGGGTTAATTCCCCACAATGCCTCCTCCATTTTTCCATGAAATTACCTATGTTTCAGGTATCTTATAATCAATTCCTTCAGCTTTGTCCCTCAATAGGGACAGAAAGTAAACATTCTTTGTAAATGATTCCCCAATGCCCACTTTCTGAAACTGGTAATGACTGTAGAAGATTCAGTCTGATCCTTTGAATCTACAAGGACCTTTTTCCTCTCAAATGGGGGCTGCACATATAGGAATATTTATTTCATTAAGTAATAAAGAAAATTATAAATAACACAGGGAGCTGTTCTTCCTGAACACCAACTACAGGGGTCAGGAGCAATGGGTAGAATTCTTTCCTTGTTTTTTGCTTTTTTACCTGCATTTTGTGGTGTGGACTGGGAAGCAAACAGGTAGACGCATCACATAGTTTCTCTTTATTGGGCATAGGATCCAAATAGCAACAGGATTGCACAGTGGCTGGAAGTGATGCCCAGGCAAGGCATTGTAGACCTGTCCTTCCAACTGGCACCAGAAGCAACGCTGGGCACCTATACAGTGGCAGTGGCTGAGGGCAGGACTTTTGGCACTTTCAGCGTGGAGGAATATGGTAGGTAGGGGAATGGACAGGTCAAAGTGGGAGGCATAATCTTGACTCAAAATCGACAAAGGTAAAGTAATCTACTCTGGGAAAGAATTATTTATTTACCTTGGAATCAGTGCTAACCCAACTAATAACTTCAGGAGGATTTTTACATTAATAATTCCCCCTTTATGAAATCAATTAATTTAATTATCACCGTCTTTGTACCCTCTGTTCACCACCTGTTTGATCAAGTCTTCCAATTCTTTTCCCATTTCTTCTACTCTCTCCAGTGCTGCCTAAGTTTAAAGTGGAAGTGGTGGAACCCAGGCAGTTATCAACGGTGCAGGAATCGTTCTTAATAAAAATTTGTTGTAGGTAAGAGCAGAAGCTCTGGACCTGGTGATGATTGAAGCTTTATTGAGAGAAGAGATGGGGGAGTGATGTGGGCACAGGGATTAAGGGTGGGACAAAACTTGGGAATTTTATGTAGTTTGGAGTCAAGACTTGGGAGGAGAGAGGTGAATCTCAAGTGAGGTTCCCAATTCTGGCTCCTCATGCTTTTCTTGGTTAGATACACGTACGGAAAGCCAGTGCTGGGAGCAGTGCAGGTATCAGCCTGTCAGAAGGCATATACTTACTGGAACCGAGAGGTGGGACAGGAGCAGCTCCCTGACAAGTGCAGGAACCTGTCTGGACAGGTGAGTAAATGGGATGTAGAAAAGGAACCTTAGCCACAAGTCCCAGAAAGTAAATAAACATCAATTTAGAAAAGTGATAAAAAGGCCAAACTGGAAATCATTTCATAGGATAATGATCCCAGTTCCAAAGAACAAAGCAGCGTTGCTTATCCTAAACAGAGACTCTTTCAGAGTCCACCTTGAAATTGAGAAATTAACCTAAACCCTTGAAAGGTGCAATTTTCCAGTTATCTGGTAGGTTCTTTTTCACTTTTTCAAATTTTAGAGCTTCAAAATCATTTTGTGATTATATAAGTCAGAATGTATACATTACAGGATTTTTTCTCTTAAAGATGAAGAAACCAAAGTATGCAGATAAGAAATTACTTCCTTCTCCATGGAAATAGAATTAAATTCCTCACATTCTCTCCTTCTCTCTCTGGTTGTTGTGCCAGACTGACAAAACAGGATGTTTCTCAGCATCCGTGGAGATGGCCACCTTTAACCTCACCGGATATATGTACTACCACAACATCGATATTGTGGCTACTGTGGTGGAGAAAGGGACAGGTAAGCAGGGCACTCCTGGGCTCATTAAGAGAAGAAAAAGAAACAGGGCTGTCCCCCGGCAGACCTACCTGGAGCATTCAAGATCTTCCCTGGTGAGTGTTTGGGAGGTACCCTGCTGCTAGTCAAGAAGAAGTGCCAGATTCCACCCTGCCAGCTACTACTTACGCCCCCCTCCCCTTTGGGGAGGAAGAGTTGGTTTGGATCTTTGGCCAGAAATATGTTCCACTTCATACTTCCAGGGGTGCTGTTCTCTCAGGAATTTGATGTTAATCACAAAGATGAGGATATCAGGTACTTAGATGGCTATGCATTTGATTTCCCTCTGCAGGAGTGGAGGCTAATACCACTCAGCATGTTTACATTTCTTCACAAATGGGATCAATGACCTTTGAAGACACCAACAATTTTTATTACCCCAATTTCCCCTTCAGAGGGAAGGTATGTTGCAACTTGTCTCTGCATAGATAAAAATGCTTAACCACCTGCTTTTGCCTCCTTCCTGTAGCCATATAATAATAGCTAAATTAGCATTGTATTCATTTACTTTAACTTCTACAGCAATTTTAGCAGATAGATGCTATTCTTGGCCCCATTTTACAAATGAGGAGACTGAGGCAAGAGAGGTTGAGTGATTTTCCCAATGTTATACAACTAATAAGTATTAATCATGACCAAATCCAGGAGCCTGCATGCAGAGTATCTGCTCTTAACTCCCTATGTTCTGTGGCCCTTAAACCCACAGGAGCCATCTGTTTAATATCCATGTGACTATAGAGCCTTTCCTAATGCTAGGAGCTCATCTTTGAATGTCCAAATCTTTGAATTTGAGAGCTACAAGGTTATGGAAAAACCATCCAGTCTGGGCTAGATTGTATCTAAGCAAGGTTAATATTGAACTTTCCTTGACAGAAGGCCATTTATAACTCCTTAAGCACTTTCTTTAGCTAACAAATTTCCTTGGTTACTATATTCTCTCTTTTTTTTTTTTTT